ATCCCATGAACAGAGGAGCCTGGCGGGCTACAGTCCATGGGGTCACAAAAAGTCGGACACAACTGAGCTACTGACACTTTGACTTCTGGAGGATGGAAAGAGATGGACAACGCGAGTTCCTCTCCTGTCCACCCCTCATCTGGCCTGTCCAACAGCATGGCAGACCTTGGCTTGGTCAGTGCTGGTAAGGAGCACTTCTCCGGATGGTGAAAATCAGCTGAGATCGAGCCCTTAACTAGTATTAGGCGTCACTTCACCCAGCTCTCTGTCCCGTACTTCTCCCTTCCCGTACTCCTGACGGTCCACTTCACTGCTTAGGCTCAGAGAAGCGAGCTGTCAGCAAGTTAGCGACTCCTGTTTATATATATATTGACTCTGTCCAAAATCAATCAAGAACAATGGATACCTTAGAAATCCGCTTGCTGATCTGGTAAAGGAGGCAGTGTTCACTAACAGGTTCCTAATTTGTACTTCGTTAAGAGTAATCCATTCTCCTTCCCCTAATGACAACTCTATTTCCAGGGGCTTCCTGGGGCCCAAGGGTCTAGGAGGAAAAGACCAGTGTAGCCTCAATTCAGTAAGAACACCCACCTCCACACTCTTTCACAGAACACTTTTCCAATTAGGGATTCATTTAAGTTAACTAGCTCCTCTTTTTTAAATGTAAATCATTATATAATATAATAAGTCATTATTTTCTTTTTTAAGAAGAAACATATTTTCTAATTTTTCTGTACTGGACATGAATTGTGTAATAAAAAATAACCCGAAGAAAAGTTACACCCCATACCCACCTTAGGGTGAATTATTCAGACTGACAAACCTCTGATAAAAACAACAAATCGCAACCATGTACTATTTCCTACATACCAAGGCCTGAGCTAGTTTTCTGACAGCAGTATTTCCTACCTGAGGTTCAAGGGCCCCCAAGGTCAACAGATGCATTCACAGGCTCTCTTGAGTTTCAGAATTTAAAAATTGTGCTTTTAGCTCAATGAAAATCATGTACGTATGATTTTCACTGAAAAGCAAAAAGTTATACAGATGGATGTATATAGTGACTTAAACAGCAGAGAGATAAAGATACAGGCTACTCCCAGTTTTCCAGGCTTCCCAGTCTCCATCCAGCTGGGGGAGCCTTGAGTCATTGCTTGGAAGAGAAACGCCTGGAAGAGACCCTTAACCTTCATTAGACAGAGGTGAACCAGAAATAAGGGAATGTTCCTGAGCCAGGGATCGAACCCATGTCTCTTACATCACCTCCACTGGCAGGTGGGTTCTTTACCACTAGTACCACCCGGGAAGCCAAAACATACCAAGCCAGAGTCAACAATCAAGCCCACATCCACTCATTTATGTATTTGTCTATGGTTACTTTCACACTACTACAGCAGAACTGAGTTACAGAGACTGTATGGCCTGCAAGCCTAAAATATTTACCATCTCATCCTGTAGTTTGCCAACATGTGGGGTAAGCTGGTAAGATTTGGGAGACTGTATGTTCCAGCAGCTAGTTATTTAACATCAATAATAGAGGCAGAAAGGCTAAATGGCAGTGCAAGCTGCATGCAAAAACTGTTAGAATACAGAAAGTGATGGGAGAAGTGTACACGGCTCTTTATGGACAAGACTTGCTGATCTCTGAAGAATTCATGTTCTGTGTGTACAAGTCTCTCTGTGCACAGGATCAGTCAGGCAGAGAGCCCATCTACAGAAACACTAATTAACAATAGCAGAAAGTAAGATGATGCATCACCCTGGTTCACCCAGGATGGAGTGTGGAGCTCTTGGGCTTAGGACTTCAAATTTTAAAACAGGGAAAGTCAGTTCTTTGGTGGTTAGGATTCTAGGCTTTCACTACCATGGCCCAGGTTCAATCCCTGGTTGGGGAACTGAGGTCTCACAAGATACATGGCATGGCCAAAATAAATAAATAAATAAAATAAAACAGGGGAATCCTGAGCAGGACTGGCATAAGTTGGGTATCCTAGCAGAAATGTTCTTTATTTCTCCATTAAAAAGCATTTAAAATTGGGGAGGTGTGCACTGTAATTCAACTGAGCCATTAAAATAATGGACTAATATCTAAAAATACATTCATTGCTTAAAAGGACAAATAATAATATGATAATCTGATGTTTCTTATGAAAATCAAAAATTCAGGTTGACAAGGAAAACATTTAACACCCGTTAAACCCAACATCAGTGATTTAATTTCAACAAAACATCATCTGTTGCATTAATGTTGTTAATTTGTATTTTATTAATGCTATAGTTTTATTTGCATTTAATTTATAATTTTGTTTCGGTTGCAAAAAGATATGGAATTTGTAGCTAGCATTTTACATCTGTATGTGTTTAAGTAACATTATAATAAAACAACTTTGGGCAAACACTGAAGTTTCAGGAGAATTAATTTTCCTTTTTAAAGTGCTTGTTTTAGAAAGGACTTTCAGATCAAAAGACTACTATGATCATATGTTAGTATTTATGTAGCAAAAATTGGGCGCTAATGAGAATAATGCTTCTAGTGACTTATTAATAAACAACAGAATTCCAAGCAGAAGCTACTGCTACTGAAATTCCACTACATATATCTTAAAAAAAAAAAAAAGTCCTAATGACATCTTAGGGCTTCCCAGGGGGCGCTAGTGGTAAAGAAGCCTCTTGCCAATGCAGGAGATGCAAGAGATGTGGGTTTCATTCCTGGGTCGGCAAGAGCCCCTAGAGCAGGAAATGGCAACCCGCTCCAGTGTTCTTGCCTGGAAAATCCCATGGACGGAGGAGCCTGGTGGGCTGCAAAGAGTTGGATGAGACTGAGCATGCACACATCACATTTGGTGATGGTAAGACTGAAAAGATGGTTTTACAAACTTTATTGGTAGCACTATAATGGATACATCTTCAGAAGGCTATGTATGTCAATACAAAGTGAGAATCTGAAGATGTTTTTTATCCTGACCAATAATCCTACTCAGAGGGAACTTTCCTAAGGAAGTTATTCAACAGAAACAAAAGGGATTTAGATAAGGACTATCTTTAAAGAGTCACTTATTAAAACCAAATCAAGGAAACAATCTAAACACCCTGTGACAGGCATCTATTTCATCTCATACATTTTTCTGTTGTATTGCTCATCACATGTGAATGGTTTGTTTGACAACTGTCACCCCATTAGACAGAAAGTTCCATGAGAATAAGGGGCTGTCTCTTTGATTTTTTTCCCCTGAAAAATCAAAGTACTACTTTATTAAATGAGTTATTTTATACAATAGGAACATCAATATAATTACAATTGTGAAAAAAAATTTTTATAACAAGGATGGACTGATTTTCAGATTTCCAAACTGTACATTTACACAGAATTGCCTTTGCATGAAGCCCAAAAAGGAACAGCATAAAAATAAGTGTTTTTGTAGCCCCTTAATTTTTGCTGATCAACAGTTTGTCAGAAAAGCAGCTGCAGGTTTTTATCAAAGGTCTGAGACATTACATAATAAATGTAGATTGCAGGAATTAAGAACAGATATCAAAACATTTGGAATATAATATTAAGTAAAAATAACACAATATGTATGCTAGAACTGAAAGTGTAATATATATACACATGGAAATGATTATACAAAAATGAAAATAATTATACTGGAATGGAGGAATCACTGGATAACTTTTAAACTACTTTAAATATTCTTTAAAGTTGTTGTTTTAGTCCCTCCAAAATGTTAAAAGAAGGAAACATCTTTGCTGCTATGTACACCAAAAATGACTTCATGGTAGGGATGAAATGACCATGAAGAGCTACCCCCGACTCACTCCCAGGCACTCAGGTTTCTTTCTTTGCTCAAGGGTAGAAACATCCAAAATACTCGTATATCCTAGGTAGCATAATCCTATTTTTAGTAAAAAATCTGAAACAAAGGCAATATGCTTTTAAAAGACAGGGGAAAGCCCTCTAAAGGGATCCCTCTTCTCGACAGTGCATTTGCTGGTTACGAACAGCAGGGGGTGCCAAAGGGACCGCTACTGTCCCGAGGAGATGGCCAGGAGGGGCAATGTCACGGCCTCCGTTAGAAAAGCTTAAACTGAGAAGACACTGCAGGCTTTCCCCTAACAGCCAGGACATATGTATAAGACTCAGGTGCTCTATAGACATGAGTGGACAAAAGTCACATTTTTATTTTAACTAACTTCTGACATTTAGCATTTCCTGGAATTATGAAGGTGGTCAGCAATCACAGTTCTGTGAGCAGCACTGGTGAGTCCGTCATGCACAGAAACCACAGACAGCATCATTACAGCTGTGGCAGCTGTCTCAGGTGCCATTTAACTTATTACTACCGTGAAACAGGAGACCTCAGGAGTTACTGTTAGACCTGCCTCTGGGTCTTGTCATTTAATGTATTGATAAAGCCAGTACATGTATCACAAATTTGTTTAATAATTTGATAACTATTTAAATATAATTGGATTTTCTTGTACTCTGAATATTATTCTCTGCATTTACAAACACTTTTCTGAGAAGGGCCTCTGTAGGCTTTAGCAGACTACCAAAGGCACAGACAAGGTTAAGAACCTCTGCTCAGTCTAAAGGAAGGTAACTAAGAAGAAAATCAAATTTGATTTGAATAAAATTGGAGAGAAAAAGAAGTATTTTAAGTCACAAAAGAGAAGTGATTGCAACACACATTTTCAGTTTGGATTCCTTGATGAGAAAGAGGAAAATGTCAAATTTTTCCTTCATAAGGTCCAAAGTGCCCCAATATTTCCAGAGGCTTGGTACATAGACACAACTTTTGAGACAGACTTAATACAATTTACCCCAGGTGCAGTGGCCTGGAATAAGATGCAAATGTTGTCCCCATCTCTCTGGAAGTCATCATTTCATGTTCACTCTCCAGATAGAAAATATCATTCATCTGATAAGAAAACCAAAATCAAATCCAAAACCCTAAAAGGCAGAGAGGTAAGACAGTGAGATAAGTAACAGTGTCAATACTCACATTCGAACAAAGAGCGACTCTTTGGATGTCAGACCGGGAGATGAATACTTTTCAACCAGGGCCAAAGTACTGAAGCCAAACTTATGAATGGGCTCGTTGGAATCCAGTGGGGGAAAGTCTGTGTCAACCTCCCCATCATCCTCGGCAATATGCAGGCAGTAGGCACTGACATTGTCACTGTAGGGAAATAAAAAAGGTAAGTGAGCACCAACGCACAGGAGGGATGCAGAGACCAGAGGTGTGGTGGACGGCAAGCCAACCTGGACGCCGCTGCTCCTACCCTGAAGCCTGGAATCAGTGAGATCTCCCAAACCCTGCTTCCTCTGATAAAGAGAAAACACATACACAGCAGTGCGAAGGGGGAGAGACACAGTGTGAAATGAGGATGTTAACACTGTTCTACTCTTCCAGTGACTATTTACGGAGCATCTGTTATATGTAAGACATGGGACTTAACGCCTTAGATCAAAGACGAGATTTGAGTATAGACCCTCAAAAGAGGTTTAGTGAATAGCAGCAGGGGAAAGGAAGTACTATATTAGCTATAAGTGTAAATAAAATAAATATCATAAAAGAGAGACAAAACTATAAAGGAGGAAAAATTATTTGAAGGGAGTCACAGACCTCTGATTTATGCTCAGGATTAAGAAAATATCTGTGCTCTAGCTCAGAAGAAGTGCTCAGGGTAACCAAGACAGTCTTTACTGTTCTCCTTTTTCCGAAGAATATCGGGCTCTCTTGATAGATCTGATTCTAAATACCAAGGAACTTAACACAGTAAAAGCAAATGACCCAATTTATCCTGATGTAGATAACTAAGCTTCTCAACTATCAACACGTTTGGACTTGTCTCACTTCCCTAGAACGTCCAGTCAGTACTCCCAGACTCCAGCTCTACCCAGTTTAGAATTGACACTCCTTCTCCTTTGAGGAAAATAAAAAGACAATTTGCTGCAAAGCAGTGGAAAACTGTACCAACATAAAGAAAATTTAACACTGAAATAACTAAAATGCTTGAAGATACCCTGCACCAAAGTTCAATCATGAAACTGCAGATCTGCTAACACTGAGAGTTTGAACCTAATAGTTCACAAGGAGGTAGGAGTCTAAATTCTATGGCTTAAATTTGGAGTTTAAATGATATGATTGATGCTTAAATTAATTAATTGCAAAGTGTATGGTAATTGTTTAATTGGTTGCTTGATCTATATAGATCATTTTTTGAATTAAATGAGTTGATTTACAAAGTTTATTGATTGGATGTGACAATGAATTATTTCACTGACTACCTGATTTGCAATTTTCCCAATTAATGCACAAATCTTTAGCTGCAACTCTGCTTATTGAGAGAGAGCCTACTTCAGGTAATCTATACTCAGTCTGTCATGACTAAGAGATATTTATTATATAAAACAGGTAATAAGGACAGATTAAAATTAATGGGAACTGTAAATTTACTAAATGGATGGATAACAAGAAAGTAATCTGGCTATGTTTGTCACTATAAATTTCATGTGTTTGCAATGCTGTTAAAATTTTTTTAAATTCATCTCTAAATGGTATGGGAAACTTACCAATCTTTGCAAAAGGTTACCAACTTCAACACAAAACACTTGCAGAAGCGAAAGAAAGCCCTTCAGATGAGGAAAATATCATAGGATAATAGCTAAGGGCTTTGTGTCCAAAGAGACTTGAATTCAAACTGAAGCCGCATTGCTCATGGGCTATGTGAGTTCAGAGAATAAGCTTCATCTCCTTCACATCCCACTTCTACAAAAACGGTACAATTACCCAGAGGTGGCTGTGAAGTTTTGATGAGATGATATATGTAGTGCCTAGCATGTAACAGAGGTAGAAAAATAAATGGTAGTAATGATAATAAAGTCAGATGGAAAATAACTTCAACAGTTAGGTCAACCCTTGAAGACAAATCGTGGATGCGTACTAGAGCAACAAAGCAACAGTGAAACTGGGAGACATGTTCTATGTGCCAACTGGAGTGAATGTGTCGCTGCGCTCCAGCCTTGGGGACTGAGCCTCCGGGAGTTTATGAACAGGGAGGACACTGATGAAGCAAGCGATGGACGGCACAGGTTATTTACTGCTGTGCAAATCATCCTGAGGAATGTCTGTGAGTCCCTAGCACCACAGAGGTTTCAAGGGCAAATAATAAGTCTATTGATCAAAGCGGAAAGCCAAACATTGGTATCAGAAGAATTCTGCTTTGATTGTCATGGGACGCCCCCAAATCCCCTCTAAACAAACTCGGCAAATGTCACAGGCTAAGCTCTGAAAACCAAAAGACTCACTGCGCCAAGTGCTCTTCTCCCCCAGTTCTTGAATATAAAGTGTGACACCACGTGTTCATTCAAAAAGCAACTGAAATGCCTAGGCTATGCTATAGTCTGTCCTGAGCACTGGGAACACAGCAAGGAAAAGAATGAATAGTTCACCCAATTATACAAATTAATGAAGTCTTCTCTGGGTCATCAGCAAAGTTTAGTAGTAAACAGGGCTCCCCTACCAAACCCTTAATTCAACATATAAGGGGGGAAATGACTAAAATTCCATATGCTAGGCATGGATACTGGTTTCTCTGTGCCTGTATACAGGAACCATGAATAAAAGAAGCTACTGTGGTATACTCTGACTTCTAAAACTGCTTCAGGACTCCAAATTAGTACCGGTGCAACAGCCACTGGTATCACTGGCTACATTCACTGGGTACTATGTGCCAGACACTGTGCAAAGTGGTTTAGATACATGAGCTCATTCCATCTTCCCACCAACTGTGTGAGTTATTATTTCTATTTTACAAATTACAAAACTGATGCTCAGTGAGGTTAAGTGGCTTGTTCAAGATTAAACAACAGGTAAGTGACAGAGCTGAGATTCAAACTCAGGCAGTCAGAGCCCTCACTCTTGACTCCCATCTACCCCTCTGCCAACGCCATGGTGTGTCAAGATTTCCCAAGGTCCTTGTTCCTACAATCTTGCAGAAATGCTACATACGCTAAAAAGGAAAAGAAAACCATGACACATATTTAAAAAACATTAGAAGCTTAACAGAGATTTATTTCAACCTCCTCGCTTTTACGAATAGGAAATAGATGCCTATTTCAAAGAAGAATAAGGTGCCATGATCACCTAATTAAATGGTGGCAAAATCAGTTTCCAGAGAACTCAGGTCTCCTTACTTCTCTCTCATTACACTTTGATCACTTCAGAATTTAGTGGCATTTTGAAGTGGGGAGAGAAAAAGAGAGGCAGCTTTAGGTTCTTGACTCAGAAACACGCCAACTATAGATATCTAGAGCTCCCAAGACGGTGAAAATGGGGCACCTCTTCATGACGGTTTGGTGGAAGGAAGAGGGACTTTCCAGTCAGATCCGCTTTAAACGCTGACACAAACAAGAACGAGCTATGTGGCCAAATCTGTCTGAGTTCCATTTTCTTACTGGTGACAGGCGTTCTTTGATTTCTCTAGGAGACTCACTTGGAACTCAAGGTCTCCTCCCCGGCGGTCTTGCAGAGCTTGGCTGCTGCTCCGCGTGTAACTTGGCGTGCTGCTCTTTCCCTTGCTCATGCATCTATGTTCTCCTCAAGAGCAAGGCCTCTACTGTCTCTGCATTCTCACCTAAGAGTGAGATGGCTGGCACTTAGAAGGCACTTAACAAGTATTGGTTAAATGAAAGAATAGATGCATGTGTAGACCGAATCACTCAACCCATGAAGAAAACATGCTGGGTATTATTAATGATGTGTGTGTTAATGAGAAGAGGAGGAGTAATAAGCCTTTCTTTTTCTTGCTTGTCACACTGATATCTGTTAGCCAAATGGGGTTTTCAAGGCAATGCACATGTGTAGAGATTGCAATTCAAGACAAGGAAGAAGGCCTAGGAGAAAGAGAAAATGAAAGAGGCATTCTTACAGTTCATTAAGATGTGAGTACTGGCATCTCAGTTTTTTATGGAGAAAAAAAACAATAAGAAATTATTACAACTATATACAAATGTTTAATTACATACATATAAAAAGACTAGAAGAAAAGGGACTAAAATGTTTATAAAGATTATGTTAACATTCAAGCAATGAGCACTTTTTTCTTTCTAACTTTCTATACTTTCCAGATGTCCCACAATATATATATATATAACTTTCATTTTCCTTTCTTGATAAAATCCATGGAATTCTCCAGGCCAGAATACTGGAGTGGGTAGCCCTTCCCTTTTCCAGGGCATGTTCCCAACACAGGAATCGAACCGAGGTCTCCTGTGTTGCAGGCAGATTCTTTACCAGCTGAGCCACAGGGAAGCCCTTCTTTATAAAATACTTAATTAAATTTTTGATAAGGGTAACACATTCTTACTGTGGACAATTTAGAAATATGGAACAGGACAAAGAAGGCTGGGCAATCCTCTCACTCCACTACAAAGAGAAAATCATTCATCCTAGAGACTCTGAGCATAGCCAGCCTGGTTCACACATGTGGTCATTTACTCTACCAGGTTTTGGAATTAAGGAGGAAATAACCACAATGACTGCAACAGGGTCTGATAAATATTAAACAACATAATTAATTGCACAGTGCCTGGCATGGAGAAAAGAGTCTCATTTTGCCAAAATTTCTTCTACCACTTTTAAGTTTCTGATTACACAGAAGTTGAATTAACTATCAAGAGTCCTCTGTGTGTCACTACCAGAGGGAGAAGAATGATCAAAACACTCACAAATAAGTACAAGACAACTGGATCTACAAGAAGAGGCTTAATTTTAAGAGCTGGGTTGGCATGGTTAGTGCAGGTCCTTTGAGGTACCATTGAGTTTGAAAGAGGAATGAAAGTTTAAATAATGAATGGATGTAAAATGGAGCCTGCTGTCAAAGAGAGATCCTTTGGGGAGAAATATTTACCTCCAAAGCTTTAATGAGTACAATTAACTGAATTTCGCTTATTCATATCTCATCAAATAAAGCTAAATTTTTCTGTACAAAATTTTATCTCACTGAATTGTTGACCGACATTCACTTTATGTTCAAATGGCAGTATGGTTTTTATGAAGAGACAGAAGCCATAAGCCCATAAATAGACGGCATTTAGTTCATAAATGAAAATTCAGGAGCATTCCAGGGAGTACCACAGATTTCTACCAAATGTAGAAATCCATCTCTTATCTTC